GTGTATTTTGAGATGGGAGATTCTAGAGCATATTTTTTGCTGATGGAGAAGGAGAAGCTGATGGTACAGCACAAAAAGAGAGAGCTTAACTGTAGCAATAAACTCTTGAATAGGCAAGAAGGGGTAGGATTAAGAGTACACAGATACTTAAATCGATTTTGTTCTGTGATTTGGGGTTACTTTGAGTGACACGAATATCCATGTTCACAGGGAGATCAGTATGGTAATCTGTCCCCATATGGGGGCCCACTGGTGGGACCTTTTAATACGATGAAGTGGGCCTGGAGAAGAGCTCAGTGAGAAGGGGGTGGGATGTAGCAGCTCATTTATTTACTTTGTTAGATTTGGAATTTAATTTGGGACTTTGTTGGATTGGCTTGAGCTGAAGCAATAAATGTAGTTACTTCCATTTTTTCTCGCAGGTATCTTTAAGACCCTAATTCTGATTTTGTGAACTGACAAGCCGTAGGAGTTGCAAAAGAGTTCTGGCTTAATATTCTCAGTCTGTTTTTCCACCGCATTTTCCTTGGTATATTCTTGTCAGTAACAGTGGCTCACTTAGGCAATTATTACAACTGAGGAGAGGAGGGAGGGGAGCAGGCATCTACCTCACCACTCCTCTGCCTCCCCCACTATTGCAAGTCATTGTTCTAGACCTTTTGTGGATACTTTAATTCCGGATTTTAAAAGGCATGTTTGTTCTTTTCCTGAGGCAGTTCAGGCATCTTAATGATCTGAAGCACATTTCCCTCTCAGAGGTTTTCCCTCCTGTAGGAATGCTTTGCCTTTTGCAGACCCCAGTATAGCAGGATCTTCAGCATATTAAATCAGTACATATTTTCATGATGAGCACAGACAATAATCCAGGCGGTGAATTCTTTCACAGCTTTTTATGGTCATTGACTAGGCTACATAGAAGGGAGTTACAGAGGACTTAGGCAATTCTTGTCTGCTGTGTGAGCCTCCTATAACACAGACCTGCTTTCTGAAAATGGTCTGTCACCTGTATCAAAAATGTTTTCCTTGGGGCGCCTGGGTGGCTCAGTCTTTAAGCGTCTGCCTTTGGCTCAGGTCAGAATCCCAGGGTCCTGGGATCGAGCCCTGCATCGGGCTCCCTGCTCCGCTGGAAGCCTGCTTCTCCCTCTGCTTGTGTTCCCTCTCTCGCTGTGTCTCTCTGTCAAATAAATAAATAAAATCTTAAAAAAAAAATGTTTTCCTCTGGGATCGGGGCTTATAGACTAGGATCTGTGATCATGCTCACTTTGATGATTAATTTCCAAGATTGGAAGAAATGAGAGGAGAGTCCTTCATCCATCCATGTTAGAGAATTTCTGCTTGACTCTTTGAATTAGTTATTTGTATAGAAAATTAATATTCATGGTTAAAACAATTTTTTTTCAAACCATCCAGCAAGGGAAATACTAAAGTGAAAAGAAGAATCACATCCACCAGAGATAACCACTGTTAATTTCTTGTGTGTACAGGAAAATGTTTATGTCCGTGCAAGCACATAGGCTCATGTGTTTATTCTTTTTTTTCTTAAAGCCTGAATGAGATCATACAATATATTCTGTTCTACAACTTGCTTCCTTAACAGTCATATCCTTCCATATCAGGACATACTGATCCATCTCCTTCTCCTCAGGGCCATTTCTTTTGCCTGGAACAGTCTTGTTCCAGATCTCTTCATGGTTTCCTCTCTTCCCGTCCTCAGTTAAATGCTCTCTTCTCGGCGATGCTTTCCTTAGCTGCCCGATCTAAAATCTCATTCCCTCCACTGTCACTTCCTGTTCCCCTTCCCTATGAATGTGTTTCTTCTAGTACTGATTATATTTTTTTCTTTTATTTTCTTTCCCCCCCGCCACTAGAACGCATATCCTATGGGGTAGGATTTATGACTGTTGTTCACTGCCCAATCCCCAGCCTTTACCAGAATGCCTGATCCCATAGTAGATGCTCAGTAAATATCTGTTGAATGAATGAGGGAATGATTATGTTGTTTTTCGCATTTGGGTGCAACATAATTTTTTAAATAATCCCCTATTGATGGACATTTAACTATTTAGTTTTCTCTATTTTTATGACTAATGCTGTATTGAATAGTCTTATACACATGTCTTTGTATTACTGTGTCGGATAAATTCCTAGAGGTGGACTTGTGAGTTTAAAGGATATACAGATTTTAAAATTTGAATAGTTGTCTCTCCTCCCCACCCCCAGCAAAACTACAGTCCTGTGATAGTACAATGTATTACCAAATTACAGTCCTGTTAGAAGTGTATAAGGACACCCATTTCCTACACCCCTGTGTACATTGGTTATAATTAACCTTTAAGCCTTTGCCAGTCTGATAATATGGAAATGGTACCTCATCTTAATTTGAATTTCTTTTATTGTAAGTAAAGTTGAATACCATTTCGTATATTTACCTTTTGTATTTCCTTTTCTGTGTATCCCTTTTTATCCCCATTGTCCTAAAAGATTGTTTTGCTTGTGTTTTTCCCAATACATCTTTGCTCTGATACATTTACCCTAAGTTGCAACGAGATCTAACCCCAGAGAACAGTATACCTCTGGGCCATGGGTATTCTGTGCCTACAACGCTTCTAGCCCTGGTGTTAACATCTTCATCTGTTCTTGCTCACACTTTTTTATTTATTAGTAAAAACAATCATATAGCATACATAGCAGTCATAGCAGATGGTTATGTGCTAGGCACTGTGCTCAGCACTTTTTTTCTTTTTCTTATTTATTTATTTATTTGTTAACCTATAATGTATTATTAGTTTCAGAGGTAGAGGTCAGTGATTCATCAGTCTTACATAACACCCAGTGCTCATTAAGCACTTTTTAAAAAAATCTCTTTAAGTGTCCCAGCAACCTTATCAGGTAGTACTAGTTTGTCTCCATATATATAATATATATATGGAAATTGAAGGGTAATGAGACTGAGTAACTTGCTGGAGTTCACACAGCTAGTCATGGCCAAGCTAGGATTTGAGTCCAGGCAGGGTGGCTCCAGAGCCTGCCTCCTCACTGCTGAGTACTTGCCTCCAGTACGGACAGTGGGTTATGTTGCCTGTTCTGGTTTCAAGAGACCCTTCTGCCCATATGTTCCCCATTCAGAATATTGACTACAGCTGCTGAAACAAGAGAAAGGTATTCATGTACACATCTAGAAGTTTTCCCTGTACTTAAAACTAGATTCCATTCCATGGCTCAAAATCAAAATAATAGAAAGAAGTGTATGATGAGAGGTTTCCCTCCCACACTTGTCCCATCTACTGTTATTTCCCCTGCCCTCTACTTTCCTTGGTTTCCTGTATTACTGTGTACTTAAAAGTAAAAGTGTATGGGGTGCCTGGGTGGCTCAGTCGTTAAGCATCTGCCTTCGGCTCGGGTCATGCTCCCAGGGTCCTGGGATCGAGTCCCACATCGGGCTCCCTACTCCGCAGGAAGCCTGCTTCTCCCTCTCCCACTTCCCCTGCTTGTGTTCCTGCTCTCGCTGTGTCTCTCTGTCAAATAAATAAATAAAATCTTTAAAATAAATAAATAAATAAATAAATAAAAAGAAAGGTAAAAGTGTATGTACACATCGAATTGTCCCCCTTTCTTACATATCAGGTGGCATACTATACGCACTTTTGTATACTTTGGGGTTTTTTTTTACTCAGCTCATCTGAAGGTTTTAAGACCATTTTATTCCTCAAATATTTATTGAGTGCCTCTTCATACAGGCACTATGCTGGCTTTAGAGGGACTTGCAAAGAAGCACAAGACACAGGAATCTCTAGCCTCAGGGACTTCACAGTTCTTCAGGTTGAGAGCACAAGTGAATATAAAGTGTGGTGGTCATGTGACATGGTACTCTCTTGGCTGATTCAGGCTTCCATACAAAGCACATTCAGCCTGCTAAAGTTACGAACAGGTACCTTGGTCTTAGAGAGCCAAGAGAGAGTTACTGAATTATGGGTCTCTTGAACATTAAGAACTAGTCTTACTTATCTTAATATCTTCTCCAGGGCTTGATGGGTGGACAAATGAATCTGTATTTTAAATATAGACTTCAAGGAAACTGTTTTCTTTTTTCGTGAACCCAAAGGGAAGAGGTTTAAAATCATTTTGATTTAAGAATTCATCCCTGCCTGAAGGGTCTTGTCAAATTGGATTGAAATGAAAATTTCATGTGCCTAATATAGAACCAAGGGAGGAGGCTCATTTAAAAAGAGTTTGCTTTGGTGGGGGTCGACTTCTTTCCCCTTACTGAGGCTTCCTCCTCCGTTTACTCCTACCCATGGGCAGAAAGTGGAAAAGAGTCAGTTAGTCCCAGTTATGGTATGATATTTTAGAGCTGTGGGTAAGCTCCCCTCAGTTGATTTGTTTTGGGTCTCAGCTTGTATTTATTACAACTTAATTCTATTGAAAGACATCTTTGTTTGTACCCTTCCAACAGTCTGGGGGCATTCCAGGAGCCATGTAGAGGCAGAATGATACACTGGTGAGAAGAGTAGACTCTGGAACTGGCGTGCTGAATCTGCCACTTTGGGCTGTGACAAGTTACTGAACTTCTGTTTGTTTTCACTGTTCCCAAGTAGACATCATAAACGTTAAGAGATCTGTGAATTGATTCAGTTTATTTTTCCCACTGAGCTTTACAGCCACAGATGAAACTGAAAGAGAAAATCTAGCACTTAGTTTCTCTAAGAACTTTTCATCAGGACCATAACGCACATCACACATGTAACACACACATACAACACATATACTGTCTAAGCATCTCAGTATTTAGTATGATGCAAGGAATAATCTGCTTTGAAGGCACATGAATCCCAAAGAAAGAGAAGCCAAAGTTAAGGTCACAGGGCTAGAGTAGTCCTGGAACATGGGTTTTCTCAGCCTCCTGCCCTTGGTTCCCAAACCGTTATTTGAATAAGAATTTGTGACTGAGGCCCTTTCCTTTGGAACCCTGTCACGGTCATAACAAGAAAAGAATCACTTTGGAGGAATATTTTTGGGCACAGAGTAGGTTTGCTTTTTTCCCCCCCTCATCTTTTTAGTTGTGGGAGTCTAGTACTTCCTGCACACCAGATTTGGGCGGGGAGGGAAACATACGGTTAGAGGTGGGTGGGGAACATGGTCACTGGGTGTGTGTGACCCCTCCCCTGCATGTCTGGAAACCTGTCTTGTGGTGGCCGCAGGGCAAGGAAGTTGCTTTTCTTCAGAGTCTGTTGGACATTTGGACATTGTCTTTGCATGATAATGACTCTGATCCATTCTTTTAGGCTCTTTATTGAGAAACTCCCAAAGCATCGAGATTACAAATCGGCTGTCATTCCTGAAAAGAAAGACACAGTAAAGGTGGGTCTTCACTTTCACTGTTGCCCATCTAAAAGCTTCAAAGCAGCACAGACTAACTTCAAGGTAAAAGTAGTGGTGTCCGCATCTGAGCTTCAAATCCTGCACCGGGAGATAAGGCCATTTCACCAGATCAGTTATGAAGTAGCAGGTATGGTACAGTAGGGGGTATTTTACATTGTTTTTAGAAACATTGTTGCCATTGCCAAGTTGACTTAAGTCTTTTTTACTTCTCTACTTAATTAGCTGGGAATTATTCTAATTCTCGGTTTTCTACTTTTGTGTCTCAGAAGTTAAAGGAGATTGCATTTCCCAAAGCAGAAGAGCTGAAGGAAGAGCTATTAAAACGATATACCAAAGAATATATAGAATATAATGAAGAAAAGGTAAGTATATAACAACAGAAAAGAAAGAAAAATTATTTTGGTTTCTTAGGCTACGCCCTGGTATTGCAATACAGTATTTTAGCAGATCCTGTGATTTTAGTGTCATATTTTACTTTTTTCAGCAAAGGCCAGAAACTCAAAAGAGTAGAACACAAGGGTTTAGGCTGAGGATTCTTTTTTTTTTTTAAGATTTTATTTCTTTATTTGACAGAGAGAGACACAGCGAGAGAGGGAACACAAGCAGGGGGAGTGGGAGAGGGAGAAGCAGGCTTCCCGTGGAGCAGGGAGCCTGATGCGGGGCTCGATCCTAGGACCCTGGGGATCAGGACCTGAGCCGAAGGCAGACGCCCAACGACTGAGCCACCCAGGTGCCCCTAGGCTGAGGATTCTAACACAGATTTAGCCTACTTGTCTTACAAGGTGACTTGAGGGACAGAAAATCTTGTTTGCTATCTCTAGAGTGAGAACCTAAGAACAGTGAAAATTGTCACTAAAACATAAGTTTTTAGGTCAGCTGATTTTGGGGTGTTGACTCACATTTGGTTATACCTGTTTATAATAACTGATTGCTCTTCAATCTGTTTTCAAATGGTTCTTGTCAGGGAGAGTTAGTTAAAGCACGTGGAGAAACTCCCAAGGCATGTCTGTGGTCTGTGTCAGATGTGAGTACTCACTGCAGGTTGCGGACCCTCCCACGTTATTTTGTAGTGCTCTGCTGAGCCCCGTTCTGAACTCTGATGCTGAAAATCCGCAGAGAGGTAAACAGCTATGAGGTGTCCATTTCTAAGGGACTGAGTGAGTGAAAACCTTATTGAAGGAGATTATTGCTTGATATTTCTTGTTAGTTTAAAATGTCACTGTGTTTTGAACTAATGACCAGGACAATTTTGGAGGCTTCCTTTTGGGTTAAAATTCAGTAAAGATGCCCAATACAGCAGGGTCAAATTTGGATTTGGTCCTATCTTGCAGCCTTACCTGGGATAAAGAATGTATGCACAGCGCAGTTAGAGAGTAAAACTGTGTAGGGTACAGATTGTGAGGTGCAGACGGTAAGTTGCATCAAGATTTCGGTAAAGACGAAAATGCATTAGTAAGAGCCATCAGGGAAGGGTGGTGAGGGGATTGGGACCTTCACTGTCCCCGCAGAGTCAGGCTGTGGTGGCCGGCTAGACACAGGCGGTGAGGGAAGCGTGAGGGCCATGTCGGGAAATGGGGCCTGAGCAGTCACTCAGCTGCAGAGCCTTGTCCTCCGGAGGTGGGAAGTAGCCCAAGTGTCATGTGTAAGCCTGACTCCTCTTCTTTCTTTGTAGAAGAGGGAAGCAGAAGAGCTGGCCCGGAGCGTGGCCATCCAGCAGGAGCTGGAGAAGGAGCGGCAGAGGGTGGCCCAGCAGAAGCAGCAGCAGCTGGAGCAAGAACAGTTCCATGCCTTTGAGGAGATGATCCGGAACCAGGAGCTGGAAAAGGAGCGACGGAAAATCGTGCAGAAGTTTGGGAAGGTGGACCCTAGCCTCGGTGGCCCCCTGGTGCCAGACTTGGAGAAGCCCTCCCCAGACGCGTTCCCCCCGGCCCCCGTGGCATCCGCGCAGTCTCTGGATTGTAATACGGCCGTGAGGCCTGCCAAGCCGCCCGTAGTGGACAGGTCCTTGAAACCTGGAGCATTGAGCAACTCAGAAAGTAGTGAGTCTGCTTGCTCCTGTCCTCTTCTGTCTCGGTGCCAGCCAAGCAGAGTGTCATTCTGGGGGCTTCAGCCCAAGATCACCTCCATGGTCCCACTCATTAGACCCTGGTCACAGAAGCCCCTTTGGTCAGTATTGTTATGCTGGGTCCTGTCATACTGGCTATCGTGTGAAAGTAGCCGTTGCTTAGCCATATAATTTACCTGGCACAGGTCGCTTTTCTGAAGAGCTCATAATATCCTTGAAAGTCAGACTGTCAACTCTTAAGGATTATACAGAGATTCGAAATGTTCAGTGAACTAGAGCCCACTGTTGGCCCATCTGAAATTCATAGTACCATTTTACAATTCACCAGTTGACTTTTAACTGAAAACGGGCTACTGAGTTGTGCTTGCCTTGAAAATGTTCCCAATCCTTAAGGAGCTTGGTCAAGGTAAATACTATATGCAGTCGGTGATGATTCAGGCTAGCCATAAAAACTATTGGCAGTCTTTCCTCCTCTCACCACTGATAGGCTATGAGACAGTAACAGTAGCAGCAAAGTGATGCATATACCTCTATTAGTAGAATAGATCATTTTGGGAAGGAACTGGCTTTCAGGTAGCATTTAAGGAAGTCAGCTTTGCAAAAGATCCACCTACAAGGACAACGTAAGAGTGGGTAGGGGGTGCCAGACTCTGAAGCCTGGCCTTTAGGATATCTCCCCATGGACTTGGCAGGCTTGTCTCCCACTGCTCTTCCTTCATCCATATTCTGTGTTCCGGTCAGATTGGGCTGTCACGTTCCCAGAGCAGCCCCTGGATTATCCTATCCAGGAGGTTTGTTAACATTTGCCCTGAACCTAAAACCTCTTTTCTCTATCTCTGCCTTCCCCTGCTTTTCTTAAAGTTTTGCCAGATCCCTTTCCTTTCATTTAGATTGATGCTGTTCTCCCTAAGACTCCCAGAGCCCTTAGTATCTGTAATGCAGTTGAGATCATTTCCCTGATAGTGTAGTCATTTACAAATAACTAGATTTTAACTTTTTCCTGTTTGGGGCTTGAGTCTTACTCATATTTGTGTTTCCTGTTATCTGAGCACGGTGTGCACACTGGTGTGCACTCGGGGAGTGGTTGTGGAATTGCAAAGAAAGACTGTGCTGAGCCTTCCTTCAGAATCCTCAGATACCGCCATTAGACCGCCATGTGACTGCCTGCTCCCCAGTCTGTTACCTCCCCAGCAATACAGAGCTTGCTGTTAAATGTGCAGAAACAGAACATCCTTTTCCATTTTTTTTTTATGAAAATGTGACCACGAAAGACACCCCCTAACTTGAGCCTGTGGTCTCTCTTACAGGGCTTCTCCCTGGTGTCCAGCAACTGGGCCCATTCTTGGCATTCTGAACCAGGCTTATTAGCTGTTCTGTGCATTCATGCCTCTTTTGAGGACCAGAATGTGGGGTTTTTGTTTTGTTTTGTTTTGTTTTGGCATTTTAATGTTCTTCTAAATGAATAAATTCAGAATGAGTTACCCAAAGTATTTTCCGTTACCCAGAATATATCTGGTGTATTTCTTTGAAAGTCCTACTCTCCAATTATCTCGGATTCTTATCCGAGATAAAAAGAGAGATTTAAAATAAAAATAAAACTCAGTTGAATGAGGAGGTTACTTTTTTTTTATTCTTTGTATTAGATTGTGATAGAGAATTCCCGAATAGCTCAGGAACTTGTTTTAAGTAGTAGTTTACCCCTGTCTTAACTTGAATAGTTAAAGCCTCTTTTCTTAAAGTAATGTACTTGCAGTGGCTCTGGCCACAGCCCTCCTCCTTCTCATCCATTAGGATGAGATTCCCCACTCACTGTCCCTAGTTTGGGAACCCCAGGGACTTGGCATTGCTCTCCGAGGGCTGCCAGCTCTGGGGTCTGCTTGGGAAGGCTCTCCCCGTGGTCTCAGACTTCTCTCCTTTCTCCACGACAGCTCCTACAATCGATGGACTGCGCCATGTGGCGGTGCCCGAGAGGCTGTGCCCGCAGTTTCTCCAGCTAGCCAGTGCCAACACAGCCCGAGGAGTAGAGACATGTGGGATTCTCTGTGGAAAACTGGTAAAAAACAAACGCTTTCCTTAGCTGAGACTGTTCCTTCTCCCTTGGATTCCTGTGACTCTCAGAGAAGATATCCAGGGTCAGTTACTGTTGGCGACGATCCCTCTGCAGAGGGAACCGGGGATAGCATAATGCAAAGTTACTTTGAGTTTGGTGACTTGCATTTTGTTGATTTTCACAGTCCCTTGAATTGAACGGATTATTTTCATGCTAGTAGTAAGAAATAAGTAATTGTAAACTTGGTAGGAAGAGCCAGCATTACCTGTATGTCAGTTTTTGAGTACCTGCTTTATGGTAGGCCTGGGAATATACAATATGTAAGGCACGTAGCATGTGTCCACAAAACATACCCAAGCATTTTGGAGAGATGCGAAATATACCCCCAAAGATAAATAACACGCTGAATGGTATATGCGGTCGAGCGCTAGGAATTCAGAGGAAGGAAAGGTCATTGAATAGAGGTACTTGAAGAACCCATTGCTAACTGCTAAAGGCAGAAATGAGTGAAATGTAATAGACTGAAACTGAGCCTTAGAGAATGAGAAGGGCTAATAGAAGCAGTAAGAGGGAAACTACCTTAGACTTGAGCAAAGGAAGAGAAATGGTACTATCCCAGAGCTTCTTGGTTTGGCTGCAGCTGGAAATGAAATTCCCACAGGGCTGTGGGTGCCAGTGGCTTTGCAGAGCGCCCCCTGAGTGTGCATGAGCAGCCAAGGTTGTGAAGCACTGAGTGAAGGACTCGGGGCACAAGTCCTCGTGCTGGCAAGGGCGGGGCCTTTGTTGTATAGATGTTTACCTTACCACTGCTGTGACGGAGTGGGGTTGCGCAAGTGCCAGGCAGTGGTGACAAGCTGTTCTGTTTTTCCTTTGACAGATGAGGAATGAGTTTACCATTACCCATGTTCTCATCCCCAAGCAAAGTGCTGGGTCTGATTATTGCCACACCGAAAACGAAGAAGAGCTCTTCCTCATACAGGATCAGCAGGGTCTCATCACACTGGGCTGGATCCATGTAAGCAATCCCGAGCTCCCCGAGGGCCAGGCTCCTCCTCTCTCCCCATGTTATAAACACACTGCTTATTTCTTTCTTCGGGCAAAGTGAACTATATCCCGATTATTTAGGTGATTGTTTTTCCCTCTGTTGGATACACACACGACTTCCCTAGCATACTCGACTGCTTCTACTCTGGTATTGATTTCTGGGAACTACTTAGGGCTTTTTAATTTTTTTAATTTTAAAAAACATTTTAATCAAAATGAACTTATTTCCCTGAAGTCCCAGTTTCCCTGTGAGTATGAATGGTGATAGGATGCTGGCCTAGAGTATATGTGGATATTGACTGTACAGGCTCTGCCTACTTCATACAAATGATATTCCTGAAAGGTATATAAATCAAAATGTTTTAATGAGCCAAGGAAGTTAATTCAGATGCTTGCATTTGGTCTTTGTTAAAGCAGCATACACCTTTATGTAAACCAGTTGGGTCACCAATATGGCGAATTTTCAAGTGTTTACTTATTGTGCGTAACCTTCTGGTGATATTTAGGTAAAATGTAATTCCATCCCTAAAGATCATTTCTACATTTTTTTCTTTCTATTCCTTTTCGACCCCTCACTCCACAGACAAAGCTACTTTTCGTGTTGTATGAGAGGCTTACATACAGACGAGTTCACTCATTTCTGGATTTGGGGAGATTACACATACTTGTATGTTAGACTCGGGAAATACTTACCCAGGAGGCAGTCCCATGTGCCTCTCCTGTCTGCATTCCATGACCTAAATATTTGCCGTATATTGGGTACCCCCTGTTATATAGTATGTGGGAGGTAGAAAACTTGTTTCTGATCTGCTAGAGGATACAAATTTGAGTAAGATATGGTTTTAGTCTCATAAGGGAGATTAGACAAAGGGACAAGTAATCACTCTTCACATGAGGCAGAATGTGCCAGGTGCCTCCAGAGGTGCGAACAGCACTATGGAATTCAGAGGAGGGAAGGATTGCACCTGGCTTGATTTACTAGAATTTTGACAAGATAGGCTAAGGGAGAATTCCATATGCAGGGGGCAGCATTGGAATAAGCAGACTGTGTTCCTGAGACATTGAGAGGTCTGGTTTGTTGGGGTTTATGGTTCATATCAGGAAACCGTTGTCGATAAGCTTTAACGTGAGACATTGGAGCAATGTTCTGGGGGGGTCTTGGGTGGATAGGCAAAATAGTTCTGCTTTTTAGTAAGTGGAGAGCTTTTAAAGGTTTTTGAATAGAGATTGATATGATCAAAGCCATTCTTAGAATATCTAAAATAAAGGCAGTTTTAAAGTAGGTTGAGGCAGGGAGATCATATAAGAAGTTAGGGTGGTGATAGAATCTACTGATGAGAGCTAGGGTGATGACATTGCATTTGGGAAGGAGATGAGTGTAGGATTTCAGAGGATGTGGGGAATGAGTAAGAGGAAGATGAGTAAAAGCCACTGGTGACTTAGAGAGCAGGCCTGACTCATGGGGGTGGCAGTGATCATCCCATAAGCAGAAACAAGGGCTTCAGGAGGATAACTTCCTTTAAAAGTGGGGTAAATTGTGGGTTCAGTTTTGAGCATGTTGAATTTAAAGTATGTATGAGCATTCTGGTGGTGGAGGTAGTTATCAGGAAGTCGGAAACGTGGCTGGGACTTGGGAGCAAGGTCAGGGTGGGAAAGGGATTTGGGAGACCTCTGGATAGAGCTGACCTGGGGGGCCTTGGGACTGGAGGAGAATGGAGAGCAAGAAGAGATTCACCAGTAGTTGGGGGCAGGCTGCCCAGGGAAGCATAGGGAATAGTTGGTCATGAAGCAAAGAGGTGGAAGAGCAGGGGGAGGGCAGTGTTAACGGCACAGAAGCCAGAGGAGGAACACTGTAGGGATTGAAGAACTAATGGGGATTGAGGTTATGCTGATGGTGAAATGTACACTATTTTTGGAAGAGTTCAGTTCATGGGGAAAGGGAAAAAAAAAATGGGACGGTGATTTAAGGAGTAGCCTGGTTGAGAGAGTATTTGCTTGATTTATGGCTTAGCATGAAAGGTTTGAACATGTGTTTTGTTTCGATTTTGGCTTTTCTGAAACCTTTATATTGGAAATATATCACATAAGAAAGGACATAAAGATAAATGTACACTTCAGTGAATCATGAAGCAAACATCTGTGTGCATGCATGACCCATGTGAAGAACGAGAACATTGTGAGAGGTATGCTCCCACCCTGATGGTCTTGCCCTGTCACACTTCCCCTCTGATAGAGGTAATCTCTCTCTTTCCTGGCTTTTCTGGAAATCCTTTGCTTTCTTTACAGTTTTACTACCTACATGTATATCCCTGAGGTAGGAAAGTATTCAGTCAAAAGTACAAAAAGGGGGCTCATCTTCCTATGTGGTAGAAAACACTCATCCTTCTGAGACAGAATCAAAGGAAGAATTCAGAAAGATACAGAGAGATTTTGGAGGTTCTGTGTGGAGGGGTTGTTGAAATTCATTTGATTCAACAGGGTTGCCATCTCGATGCACTGCCTGGCCAGAGGGGAGACAGGTGGTTTTAGGAACTGGAAGGGATGGGGTAATGTTTGGGGAATTACTGTTTAGACTGCAGGTAGAACTCAGCCCCAAATGAATAAAAGCATTTCTAAAACTGTGAGGTCCAGCTGGGAACAAATTTAGAGCTGGAGTTGATGGTATTTCAGCTTTTTTCCCCCTGTGATACTGCTGTACCATTCCTTCCTAACTGGGGATTAAAAACAGAAAAAAGCAGAGGTTTGCTCAGATCCTAAACTTGGCAAGAGGATTATGCAGAACAGTTCTTCCTTCTGTACTTTGCCAGCTATAAGTCAGGTTCCCTGGTCCAAAAGTTTATATGGTCATGTATTGCTCACCAGCTACCGGGTGACCCTCCAGCCCAGTATTCGAGGCCATCCTTGAGCTTTGCCTCAGCCCTGCCTTAGCCCTCATTGCTGTCCCGTGGCTGGTCCGCTCCCATCCAGGCGCCGAGGCTGCCCCCAGCATTCAGTCTCCTTGTTCACTTCTCCTTTGGTTTATTGTTTTCTCTTCATAAAAATGCCTTCCTCTGTCTCCAGCATGACAGACACAACTGTTTTTTCAAGAAATTCAATTGTGAAGGGAAGGAGAAAGAGAAAGCACAATAGAAGGGAATAGAGGCTCAAGACAAGGTTTTTTGATTTCGTTTAACAATTATTTATTGAGCGTCTGCTGTGTGTCTCTATGTTGTCTTTCTAGCTAAGCCACCTTTAAATCAGAGGCCTAGATCAGCTTGTGTAGGCCTCGTTTGTTCCCAGTTAAAATTCCTTGTTTTAACCGTGGGATGAAAGGTGTTGGCACAGGCCGTTTGTCCTGTAGGATCCCATAATCAGGTAGAAACTATTTTTCCCTTGTGGTCACCAAATTTGTACTTGCCCTGTGAGGACCTGTGTGTGCTTTTGCTGTCAGCACTCAGCTAACATGTTCCTGGCCTGCAGACCTCTTCCACCGTGAGCTGGCCACGGCTTTCTATGGAGGGGTACTTCTCAGATGAGGCTGCATATAAAAGAACCATTGAATCAACTTTATTTCTATTATTATTATTATTATTGGTGGAGAGAGGGCCAGAAGGAGAGAAAGAATCCCAAGCAGGTTCCACGCCCAGCATGGAGCCCAGTGTGGGGCTTGATCTCACAACCCTGAGATCATGACCTGAGCCGAAATCAAGAGTCGGATGCTTAACTGATTGAGCCACCCAGGTGCCCCTGTCTGAGCTTTTAAAAAAAAAAAGTGTCTCAGGATGGATATTTCTAGGGGTGGGGTCCAGGAGCCAATGCTTTTGACAGGCTTCCCGGGAGCTTCCTTTTGTACACAGCAGGTTTGAGAACGCTGATCAAGTACACTTATTTATGTTCTGGCCTTTTGGTCAGTGAAGGCTGGTAGTCTTTTTGAGTCCTACTGGGGCTTTTTCCATTCTTGTTATCTGTACTTAACACTCCTCTAAGATGAACATAAGGCATTATGCGACTCTTCATTTGTGTACAAACAGTGGTGTGCTCAATAAAACATTAAATGATTGAAAACAAAAACATTAAATGATTGAAAACAAATGAGATAAATTGAATGCACATTTCGATGGTACTGTAACGGATTACCCTCAGATTTCACTATCTTGGTCCTTTCCCCAAACAAGATAGGGTCTTTTGTGTGATTTAACTACCACTGTGCCCCCCTGCTTCTTACATCCTTGGATGGTATGCTTTAGCCATAGGACAACGTTTGCCATTTTTGCCTATAGAGCTGCACACTCATGCTTGACTTTTTTTTTTTTTTTAAGATTTTATGTATTTATTTGACAGAGAGAGACACAGCAAGAGAGTGAACACAAACAGGGGGAGTGGGAGAGGGAGAAGCAGGCTTCCCGCGGAGCAGGGAGCCCGATGTGGGGCTGGATCCCAGGACCCTGGGATCATGACCTGAGCCGAAGGTAGATGCTTAACGACTGAGCCACCCAGGTGCCCCTCATGCTTGACCTTTTAACACCTCTCAGGAAGAAGAATCATTCACCCAACTGTGGTTTAAGTCCTTGACTTCCCCCATGTTGAAGTATTGGACAGCATCTACTGTCTGTTGCAGAATGGATGACTCTCCATTGCAGAAAGAGAGCTTGTGAGGGGCCAAGAAAATCTTGATGGTCAATTAGAAATTATCATTTCTTCAAATACTCCTGTTAAGCTATACTTGTTTACAGTGCTCAAAAGTAATGACCTTCAGGCGTACCCCGTCGTGACTGCCAATGGCTTTGTGCTGGAGAAGGGGATTGTGGCCAGCTGTTGAGAACTCTTTGGCTCTGTTTCCTTCATGGGCCAGGCTTGGCTGTCTCCCTGAGGAGGATCTCAGACGTGTTTTCCTCTTCTCAGACTCATCCCACACAGACTGCGTTCCTCTCCAGCGTTGACCTACACACTCATTGCTCCTACCAGATGATGTTGCCGGAGTCAATAGCCATTGTTTGCTCCCCCAAGTTCCAGGAGTAAGTCCATAGATGCGGTTCGGGCCAGTACACGGGGCTAATGGGGAAAAGCCTCTGAGGAAAAGGTCTCTGTTTGGAAGACCTTGTTCTCGGTAGAACATGTAGATTGTGGTATTCATTGGCTGTTTTAAAAGGTTACCTTTTAAGCACCATATCCTGATACACCTACTATGCTTGTTTAACAAAGATAATCGAAGCAACAATTTTGATGCTTTTCTAAGAAAAGGACATAGGAAATTTGAAGTCTTTGACTTGAAGCAATAGGAATTTTAAGACTGATGTCAGATTAAAGAATTTCAAAGTCAGACAGATTATCTCAGCTAACTTCTTTTTCATTCTAAGTCCTGTTATTTACTATGAATTCTCCCAGCACAGCTAGTGTGGTGGCAGTGATGAGTCATTCTCTAACTCTGATTCATTCATCAGAGAAGAGACCCATGTGCCAGCATACTTTTGAAGCTGTCTCAAAATGAACTCCGTGTGTGTGTGTGTGTGTGTGTGTGTATGTGTGTGTGTAAGCGCACGCGCATATGCATGCATGTGTGTTTGGGACTAGGGAAACACCTTTGCTTGGTTCTGGTCTTGCTTTTTCTTATTGCAGAACTGGATTCTTTAAACTAACTGACCACGGACTAGAGGAGATTTCTTCCTGTCGCCAGAAAGGATTTCATCCACACAGCAAGGATCCACCTCTCTTCTGTGTATGTATCTAGATAGAAGAAACTGGGGCTCTGCTTCAAGCAGGGAAGACAGTCTGAGCTGATGAGGTGCATTGTCCTTTCTGACCCACATAGAGGATCAGCCTTGTCACTTACCTTTGCAAATCTTCCTAAAAAGGACATACGTGGGAAGCAGTGTGGGATAGGAATGGATTTGAGTCGTAGCTCTGCCATTTAAGGACTATCTTGGATTAGACTTAATCTTCCTGGGCCTCAGCCTACTCATCTGGAAAGGGGGATGATGATGATAATACCTACTTTATAGCGTTAATGAGAGGCTTAATTGAAGGAATATACAGAAAGTACCTGGCTTATTAAATGTTAGTATTTTTCCTTCATCAACACCAGTTGCTAAGCCTGTACTTCAATAAGAGATTTGAATTCAAAGGAAAAAAGCCACTTAAGTTTGATAAGGTATATTTGATTCTGAAATTCTGCTTAAATAATAAGGATTTATTTTTATGACTGTCTTAGGAAGTTTTTTTTTCCTAAGTTGTATTCCATGAATAAAGTTTGTTGCTGATAAAATCAGTATGTTTCAATTTACCCCTCAAATCTAGTAGATTTTTCACTCCATGCTGGCCATGGAGTGTCATTTTGGGTTCACCAAAAAGTGACCAGTATAGAAAAGGGACTCAGAACCTTGTCACATGAAAGGAACTGGGGATGTTTAGAGGAGAAACCTCAGGGAGGATCTGAAAACCGACTTTAGGTGTTAGAGGAATTATTGTATGAAAACGTATCGAGTGCATTTCATAGGACTCCCAGAACTAAAACTAAGCCCTCATGGAATGACAGTTTTCAGCTGAGTTTGAGAAAGAACTTCCTGACAGATCTGTTCAAAAAAAGGTCAGTCTGCCTTAGAATGTAATAAATGTCTAGGTACCAGGATGTTGAAATAGAGGCTGCAAAAGAGTGCCCGTGTTTTCAGTTTTTCAGTTATAAAGGCCCCTTTTGCATGCCAAAACTGAGCATTCCCCAAGTGACAGTGGGTGCACTGTATTAGTTGGTTGACACAGTGAACTCTCCCAAAAAACTAATGAATCCAGCAATTCTTTCAAATAAATGTAAATTTCGTGACTGACTCTAGGATATATATCCAACTGAAAAGTAAATGAAGCTATGTGGGCCCACATTGATTGAGACTACAGGTAGGGATTGGGGAGTCACTGATTCCCTGGCCCCTCACCGTAACTGCCATGTAAGTAGCAGTCTGGCTTCCAAACTAGAAACCACTAGCCAGAATAAGCATGTTAAATAAGGTTTAAAAAGTGACTTCTTAGAATTTTCCAGGACTTTCCCTTTCTTTCTTTTTCCCTGTTGTAGAGCTGCAGCCATGTGACCGTTGTGGACAGAGCAGTGACCATCACAGACCTTCGATGAGAATTTGACTCGAACACTTCCCAAGAACTATAAAACCATATCAGTGTACTGTAGCCCCTTAATTTAAACTTTGCAGAAAGCTCTGGAAGCTTTTTTAGACAGAGTTGAAAGTGAGTATCACCTGGGGGGGAACTGATTTTATATTTCTGGTTTAAAAAGGAATAATTAGCTGTATTTTTTAGGCAAGTGTGGAAAATAGCATGATCATGCTAGACAACTTTTCAGTCTGCAATTATAACTTGAAAGAATGGTATAATGAACACTTAATCTATACCCTTTGTTCTAGATTCACCAGTTGTTAACATTTTTTTTCCTCTAAACTCTCCTTCTAATTTCTCCACCAATTTGTTTATTGTTTACCTCTGGAATTATTAAGGGCATCTATGCAGAAATTTGGAAGCCATTTAGAAAATCTTTGGGTTTTCCTGTGGTTTATGACAATATTAATGAAGCTTATTACAAGGGTGAGGGATAGCTCACTATGTCTGACCAGATGGTGAGGCCCGAAAACCCTAAAGAATGATTTTGTCAGGAAGTATTGTTATTTAACAAGTATTTCAGAATATTTTTTTCCTCTACAATAAAATAACAATTAACATATTTTGTGTGTGTATGCTCTAGAGTGATCTGTTTGATCAAGTATTGTGGAAACAGGCTAACTAAAAGGTCTGGTTGTTTGGGGAAAGGTGAGGGAAAATGGAATTTGAGCTGGGCTGACATTGAAGGTGTGTCCCAGTTCACTGTTAACTGCTCAGTGTCATTTGTCTGCTTGTTGCCATCTTCCAGGGCTGTGAAGTTCTCTGTTCTTTTGGTGTTGTCTCAAGTGGGTCATCCCATTCACTTCCTCCTTATGCCCTAAAAGCTTTCAGCTAATGATAATAGAGCCTTTATTTGCAGTGCCAGGTTACGCTCCAGATGAGTGATTACATTCCCTTGCCACCCCACCCTACCAATGTTATTATGTTGACTATGTTTTTCTGACTCAGGCAACATCTAGGAAGGTGTTTGAAGCTGCAGTTGGTTCTATATTTCTCTTTCTATAAGCTGAGCCTAGCATTCTAAGGTGGCCTGGAAATAATGATATTGTTAGTAACCCCTCAGGTGAGGGCAGGAGAGTAAATACTTTGTATAGAAGAAGAATGAGTTTTTATATTAAAATTCTATGGGAAAAAGTCTGCAAATGTATGAAGTTTTGCTTCATTTTAAAGTTTTGTGTCCTTGAACATATTATGTTCTTTATCACTTAGGTTAGTGTCCTTGAACTTTTCCCCTGGAAGAACCAAGTCTCTATTCTTCTCCTCTTGGGTTATTAACCCCCAAAATATCAGAAATTCTTTCTTCTGCAGTTCCGGTGTAGGGAATGTGGGGCCAGGGGAGTCTGGGGAGGAGTCTGGGCAAGAGTGCCTCTCCTCTCACTGCCTTCCTTTCCCTACTGTGGCACCAGAGGCAGCCTGGACTGTCCCACCTCGCCTTAATAGTCATATAACTGCCCCAGTCTGGGACTTTCCAGGAAATGCATCCTTTCATTCCATGCTCAGGGCTACTGCTTAGTGTAGGGCCTTAATACCCCTTCCCTGGACTAGTGCAATAATAGGCTTTTACCAGGTCTCTCTCTCTCTCTCTCTTTTTTTCAGTTATTTCTTGACTCCAGTCTGTTCTGCCTTGTACAGTCAGGAGAAGCTTCCCACATTACAGCCATGCTCATGTTTCCTCTCTTGCTCCAAAATGTTTGCATCACCTAAAACCTAAATTTAGCCTTTATTCAGAACTTTCTGCATATGACCACATAACGCTCTTGCCCCTGGCTACACATTCAAATGCCTGGGGAGCATTTAAAAAAAAAAATACTGATACTTGTGCTCTACCCCACACTGATGAATTCTGAATCTCTGGAGTAGGGCCCCAGACAGTGTTTTTGTTTTGTTTTCGTCTTTGTTTCCAAAGCTGCTAGGGTGCCACCAGGGTTGAAAAGCACTGCACGGAGTCAGAGTTCAGGGACCACTATGCCTAAGAATTGTGAGCTCTCTCATCTATCTCTGCACTTCAGAGACATTTTGCAAATGTTTGTCGAACCAGAGTGAACTGAATATGCCATGTGTCACAACCATATCGGTCATTTACTTTTTACCAAATGGCCACACCTTTTCTGCCTCTGCACCTGTGTGCAAGGAATCCCAGAGGCTGCCGGGGGGGTGGGGAAGGGCAGGAAACCAGTCTGCAAATGCTCTCTTTGCACCTGCTGCAGAGGCCCCTCTGCACGGGGCAGTTTCAGTGTCTCTTTCCCCGCCTACCTCTGGGGGGAAAGCTGTGGTAGCAAGCCAGCCCACAAGGAAGCAGGGAGATGGGGCAGATCCATGAAAGAGAAAAGGAGCCAGAGTTGTAGGGAAAGGAGGGAAGCATTCCATATTGTGAATAAAAGGGAATCAGACCATGAAACATGAAGCAGCTTATACTGAAAGAGTAGCAACTGCTCAGTAAAGAGACTGATTCCTGGGCTCCTGAAAGCCTTTCTGCCTTCACAAGCCACAGGAGCACCATGCTTACTGGTCTGGGCTGAGTGGGGAGAGAGGCTTACTCGTCTGGCTGCATCCCAGTTGGCTTCAGAGGCACAAACTTTCCAAAGTGCCATGGGCCGGGTACAGAGAGACTCTGGGGCAGCTGCTGGGTTTCTTCAGATGATCACTTTCACATACTCCAGTTAAATGCCACCAGAGAGGAAGAAGAAACCACATAAGCCTTTATTTTGCTTTCTCGGGTAACAGACACTTTAAAAGGCAGCATGGGGAGAAGCATTCCCTAGTGGGGCTAGTGTGGTGCATATTTGTTGCTTGAGAGGCGAGGGTTTCAACTCTCATTCTGGCACCCCTGATTTTAAAATCATGGTGCCTATCCCCTTTGCCTGCTGATCACTTCTTCTGGGTTTCAGTTGCCCCAGGGGAAGGAAAAATTTTTCATGTGGGGGTTGGGAGGAACGGAGACCCAAGAGCAAAGCATGAATGACGTGAAAGCCCAGTGAATCCCACAACGTTGGAACAGACCAGTTGTTGTTCCCTAGAAAACAGTTTGTCAGTTGGTACTGTGCTTCCTGACCCCTCTCCCCTGACCCCCGTATCTCAGTGTTTTAACCCCACCTGGGTTTGGAGACCAGTTTGTGACCACGGGTGGAACTTCTGAGTCAAGGCTCCCTTTGTTTTGTGAGGAGATTTGCCTGGGGCACTGAGAAAGCCTGTTTGGATCAGGACCACAGGAACATTATCCTCTAGAGAGGAAGTACCAGATTGAACATGTAAGACTTTGCTTTTAGGCCCAGCTGTTTATTCACCCACAAGTCACTTAACTTCCCAAACTTCTTTAAAAATCTATAAAATGGGATCTGTCTGATATGCCTACCTCAAATGAGGACAAAATGAAATCCATGTGCAACTGTGAGAGTTGTAAAATGCTATAAAGATTGAAGGCACCTGTTATTTGTATCTCTGGAAATGCTAGAGATGAGGTGTCATTGCTCCTACCTACTAGACTTTTACAGCACCCACCTTCTGGCTACAAGACTCTTGAGGCAGATCCACTTTCTTTATCACTAGCTGGGCCTCAGCTCCAAATATCTTACCTGGTCTGTTCTGATATCCTGAGCTGGAAAACTGAGAATCTCAAGAACCAGAAGAAACAGTCCAAATTTCTATTCCTCCCCTAAACCGAGAGCAGAGCCAGGATCCAAGGAGGTTGCACCATATCTTTTATCTCTTGATTCCATCCCACTCCTCTTTGAACCTCCCACTCTTGTTGTTCCAACTACTTTTTGAGATGAGAGGAAGAGAACTTTGACCCTCTTCACAAAGTCGCCACTCCTTAACCCAGGGTTGAGTTTTTTGTTAACCTTAGCCTACTTGGGGTTAGAAGCAGGCCATATGCTTAATGGGGTGTGTCCAGTATCATTCACTGTGCCTGTTAGATCCCGGATCCAGCCCGGTTGCAGTGCACAACCACAGGCCCTGTGTCCTTCTTTGGTGACCACGCCTGCTTCCCTTAGGGCTTAGCTCAAGTTTCACCTCCTCTGGTGCCTTCTCTCACTGGTAAGTTCACTCTGGGGGCTTCCTTCTTTGAACTCCAGTGCACTTTTAGGCAGTTTCCCACAGCTCAATGAGTTGTTTTTTGCCATTTTGCAGTGTTTTCTCATTGTGTTCTTACGTGGGTCGGATCTGAACAATCATGTAAATTCTGTAAGGGTAGGACTCTTGTTTTGTGCTGTTTTCCAACACTATGTTGAGTGCCTTTCAGTCAGCATGGCCCTTCCTTACTTTCTTCGGCTTAGCCCTTCTTGAAATCGAGTCCTTGGTGTTGAATTGTGTGTAAGGAGGCCAACTGGACCTGTGCCCTGATTGAGAAGCTCTGTCTCCACTTTGTGGGAAGCCACCTTAACGCCTTGCCTCAGATGTTGCTCTTTGGGCCTGTGCTGCCACCGCAGTGTCACCTTGTGCCAAAGGTCTGAATGTGAGCAAGCGCTCCCAGCAGAGGGAGCCAGCAGTTGGGCTCTCTTCCAGCTGCCAGGACAGATGGTTATCCTGCTGAACAGGCTCATTCAATGGATAGTCAAGAGAAGATGTGATGGAGGCTGAAAGGAGGAAGGTCAGAGAGGCAGGAGGAGACCAGGGGACAGTGGTACCACTATCTTATCACAGTAGCCAAGGAAGGCAACAGTTTAAAACAAGGGGAGAGGAGTGGTGCCAAATGGCTCGGGAGAGGTATTCTGGGCTAATGACCAAGATGAGTTCATGGGAGGTAGCCGCTGACAGTGGTCTTCCCTGACACCCCATCACTCTGCCACACCTCCTTCTTACTCTCCAAATAACACTGTCATTAGCTAAAATCATCCTGTTTAGTCCCAGCTTCTGTATCCAAAGTATACTCCTTGAAAACAACAACTTGGTCTTGTTCACTCTTGTGTTCTCAGCTCCCAGAATAGTGCCTGACACTCAAAAAGATAGGAATAAAGGCACAGACTTGTCCAAAGTCATCCAGCTAATAAGTGGGAAATCTCTGGGGTTCTGGGCGAGGGGGGGGAATAGAATAGTAAATGCGCACACGTTTTGAATAATGATTTTAAAGAGTGTACAATTTAAAAATTAACAAGTTAGTCATAGACAATTACCTCTTAGAAGGTAAAAGAAGGAAAGCATATGAGAAGCTAAAAACTTCCTATTTACTTATTCAGAGATGAATGATAGTACAATATCACAGACTAAACATCTGGAATTTCTACAAGCTGTACAAAGAAGGAAATTTAGAACTCTAAATGCTTTAACTATTTAATGAGAAAGACTAAAAAATAAATTAAGCATTTGACTCAAATTAGAAAAAAAAAGAACAAAATATATAGTAGGAAAGCCAGGAGGAAAGAAACATGTATTAAAGTAGAAATTATTGAATTTTAAAATAGAGTTGATAGATAAATTCATAATATCATTTTTTGAAAAAGGAATAAAGTAGTTGAAGAGGAAAAAGAAAAACATATCCGAAATTAGAAATGAACAAGGGGATACAACAAATGTATAAGAAAGTACTACATGTAAGTAGGCTAATGAATTTGCTCCTCGGTGAAA